AGGTACAAGGTCATGGGCTCCCCCCCCTTTTTTATATATTTATATATATTTTTTAAAAAGGGACCATGCATATTTTAACTGCTGGTCAGCATTTAAATTTCACAGATTTCACCGTTTTTATCACCCTTTTGCCTTCACTGGCATTTAAATTTTAAAAAATATTTTTTGAATGCCTCTGCAGTGTGAAAAATGACTTTTTAAATGTACAAATAGTCCATGCGCCCTCTCCATTAATATAAAGTCGTAAAAGCTGCTTGAATAACAATTGCAATTATAAAATAATTAGTGAAATGCAGTTTAAAATGGTTTTAGATGGAGTACAACATGTCACACCGCAGGACATATCAACAAAAAAAGAATTTCATGCCAGCTAACCCTTTTCTGAAATTCTTCTCGAACTTAGCCATTAAAAAAACATGTTTTTGAGGAGCTATAGCATGCAGTATTGCATAATGTATGTACTAAAATATAATTTGCTATAATATGCAATATTATAATACTCAATATGCAATTATATTATACTTTGAATAGTCATATTATATATTTGAATATTTAAATGAGCAAAGGAAATATCCCACGGCTGTTATTTGTTCTAAAACACGTGTAATGCATGGATACTAATATAATGTGCTAAAATGATGTTATGCTATGATAAAATTGGACTTTAAATGCCTTTGAATAATATTTAAATGAGCATATGTAATACTAAAATATAATGTATAATATTTATATGATATATTTGAATATTTTAATTGGTGGTAATATATTAAAGGTGACCCATTATGCCCCTTTTTACAAGATGTAATATAAGTCTTCGGTGTCCCCAGAATGTGTCTGTGAAGTTTGAGCTCAAAATATCCCACAGATCATTTATTATACCATGCTTTAAATGCCCATTTTTGAGGATTATCATATCGCGGTCAGTAGGGCTGCATGATTAATCACAATTTACATGAAATTGCACTTAAAAACCGATTTGGCTTATCGCAATTATAAAATCGCAAAGGCTGCGATTTATTTTTAAAAATATATGCGTAGGTTGTCATTGATGTACGGCTCTGTAAACACTGCTCCATCTGAAAGCACTGAGAGTTTGAGTCACTTATAACGTGCATTTGAAAAAGCAACAAGCGTCAAACATCTTTCCAAACATGAGAAGCATTAATGAACATCTTGTCCAGCAAAAGACAACATTTAATAGCATGCTTTTACTCCAAACGACAGTTGAGCATCCTTCTGTGAGATGATGTGGCTTCTTACACAGAATAAGGCAGTCGTGTTTATTAGACATGTTTAATCAATCAAAACGTTTCAATCTTCTGTTTATTCAGCTACAGCGGTAGTATGATGCCGATAGTAGGGATTTCCTGGAATGATGTGCGTTATCGTACTTCTGCGGCGGGGCAAATTTGGCGTGTCTGATGTTACTACCGATCAGCCGCACCGCACTGACAAGCTGTGCATAAAATAATCGCAGCCTTTGCCAAATTTCTAGGGCTGGGTTTCGATTCAAATTTCAAGAATCGATTCGATTCCGATTCTCAAGATCTTGAATCGATTATCATTATTCGATTCGATCCGATCTTCGAGATTTAGATAAGTGTTTTTGAAAAAAGCATTTTTTTTTTCCAGCTGTTACCTGAATTACCGGACTGTAGTTATGCAACATATTGATACTATTATTATAGACCTTCAACCGCAAATTAATGGTTGTAAAGAACAATCCCCCTTCCAGAGTGTTGATACAACTGCTTTCACAAACTTGCACTGGTGTAGACGACAGAGGACGCAGAGGTATATCAGCAGCAGGGCTGTCGCGATTACCGCAATCTTGTAGTACCGCGCTACTGACAAGTCAACCGCAGAGGATTGCAAGTAGGCTAACCGCAGCAACTGCGATATTCACGTTTTTTTTATAAGGCTATACCCTTCTTGTTTTGAACTTCATGCATGTGTATTGAATGTTAAACAAGTTCATAATGATAACAAAGACTGTTTATCGTGGTGATGTGTAGCCTACAGAGGCTTCGCACAGACAGTGAATGAGAGAGATTGGCAGAGCGCGTGCGATTACCTGCGTCTGTCTTTGAAGTCATATGTATTCGTGAAAAAGGTTGCCGTGTCAAAGGAAAGCGAAATATTTGTCGTATCATCCTTTTAACGTTCACGTCACGGGTATTTACCATAAATGCGCGCGTCAGCAGCAGCGCTGGTCAGCATTCCACATTCCAGGAAGCCGCGGGGAAATAAAATCAGCGAGTCACGCATTGAATCAATGCCATATTGGTCTCTGAAGCATCAGCTTCAGCGTTACCCATGCGACGCATTGCTGCTCAGCTGAGCCTTGAAAAGTGGAACTCAAAGTTAAAAATAATTAACACCTTGTTTCATTACATCTCTTTTAATGAATCAGCTTTTTTGAACGTGTTCGTTGAATGAACGGTTTAATGACTCACTCAAAGCCCGTTGTCACAATGTGCGCGCTGAGTGAAAGCCTTTCAATGCGCATATAGGGATCTCCAGTTGCGGCAAGTTAAAGTTCACGGGGAAAATGTAAGCCTATTATTAAATCGATCCTCTGAGTTACGGATCGATCTTTAGAAATTAATATGAAAATCGATTCAGAATTGGTGAATCGATTTTTTCAACACAGCCCTACAAATTTCGTACGGTTTCATTGCGATTAATCATGCAGCCCTAGCGGTCAGACTCACATGACATTGCAGTTCTTCGTCATCATGAAAGTTATTATTTGCATGCGTTTTAAAGCCATATCAGTTTAAACTTCTGATATATGGTTTTTTGAGCGCGCACAGACGAAGCATGTGCGCAGAAAGCTGGCTGTCAGACGCTGCGTTCCGTGAGTATTAAACTAAGTTCTCTTTCACGTCTTATTGCGCTTAAACTGTCAAATACACTGAAGGTTATGTCAAAAACACACAAAGTTTACATAAACAGTCGGTTATGTCTGTGAACGTAAACAGCAGGGAAATAAATTGCATGTGTATATTAGATCTGTGAATTAAAGTGAAAACAGCATAATATGCAATATCTACTGCTGTATATGCTGTTAATATGAATCAAACAACAAAAGAAAAACAGAAAATCACTCACTGCTCTTGACTGAATAACTTTAGTAGCTTTAATAAGAATGCATTTGGAATTGAAGTGGATGGATTTTTACCACAATCAGGTGGTTGTGTACACAAACTGCTAATTATGTTCAAAAACAATATAAAAAAGAATTTTGCCAAATTGGTCCCCTTTAATATTCAAATATATGATATGATTATTCATTATATTATTATGCAAAGGCAATATCAAAATATAATATGAAAGGACTTTGAATATTCATTTAACCATTTAAATATTTAAATAAGCAAAGACAATAACCCCTTACTTGTTCTAAAGCACTTGCATTAGTTGGACAGTGTTCAGATACCGCCATTGTGCTACCCTTAGATATTGTCTGTGTATTATTGTTTACCGTATCCCTTGCGATTTCACACATTGTAATTCTCCGAGTTCCAGCTCTTGCCCTGTTCTCAAAAACCAAACCATCTTTTATCGTCTCGCTCCCTTCATTTGTGATATTTTTTTAATGGAATTGGCTGCACAATGACTAGTAACTCCCAGGTACAATGATCTATTCTACAGCCGTGTTATCTCCCTAATAGAGTGCAGCATAGAAGTAGCAGGGCAAGCGACGGTACCGCGGTAATTGTCAAGGAATCACACAGGAACATCAGATAGAACAATGGCGCTATAACTCGGCTTTCTATAATCATAATATTCCTTTGTTTCACGGAAATGAAACTCATAGGCAATGAGAGCTCCAAGCAGGCCCGGCCTCTTTAAATCTGGGATTATTTTTGCCATGTGGTTCCTTGGAGGTGCATTTGAAAATATGAAGGAAACATTCTCCCTTTTCAATTAAATATCGCCTTGAATGCGATTCAGCTCACCAGAGAGCGTTCGTAATGTGTGGCATTCCTGACGGTAATCATATTCCTCACAAAATGGCATAAGCGCGTAAAGGCGTAAATGGAGTTAATGTGGATTTTCGCGAAGCTCCCAGCTGATGCATTATTTTTCTGATCTTGTTGGTGTGCTTTTGCTTTCCAGTTTGTTTACTGCACTGATATGAAATGCAACCTGATTGACATCTCACCAGTTTCCTGTGCCTGACCCCACCATTTTGGTTGGCTCGTCTCATCTGGATTTGCATAGCAATTCCTCCTGATTGTCTTCTGCATTTCTGTACGACTCTCCATCACATTAGTCGGAGTAAACAGCAACTACTGCACCGTGATTACAGAACTCAAACTGCCGGATAATGGCTCCCGCATCGGTGTGTGTAATTGATTGGTATTGAGCTGTCAAGCTGCATACATTATTACAGCGCTGAAATCAACTCGCAGGCTTTTGTCTGTTAGTAACACGATAGACCGTCTGGGACGGGTTGCCTCTGTGCTCTTGGGAGAATTTATCTTGGTCCCCGCTGCTTTTTACGAGACATTTCCCCACTGCTTTCTGATCTCTCTTTGCTATTTTATGAGACTGTGGCTTTCGAATGCAACATTTATGGGTGTAACTGCTATAGCATAGAAGCATATGATCTAAGGAATGCTATCTGCCAAACACTAAATATGTGCTCCATTAGGAGAAAAAGCATTTTTTTTGTGAGCAAGTGCCTTTTTGGCACTTGTGCCAATTGAAATGCTTTTTTCCTTACCCTTTCCCTTCCCTCCCTCCCTTCCCTTTCCCTCTTCAACACCTCTTATTGCCCCCTTCCCTTGAAGAACTGTGTGTGTTTATTTTACCTTCCTCCTTTTTTTCCCCCTCCCCTTTGGTTTCCTTCAAATTTGGCATCCGTGTTTGCCTCAGGATGTCTGTCACAAACTGCAGTCAAACGTTGTGACAATGCTTTTCGTTTCCGCCCGTGCCTTTTTTATGACCCTCTTATTTGTTTTTTCCTTTTTCCTGTTTTTTCCTTCAAGGTCTGGCGCACCTGACGTTAAAGAGCCAAGGTATGGGGCCTCTCCCATTTCTTTTTTTCTTTTTCCCCAATTCCCCCTTTTTTTGTACCTAACCCTTGCTTCCACAACTCATTTAATCTACCTTTTTTCCTTCCATTTGTTTGTCCCGTTGGTTTCTGTGCCCTTTCATTCTCTGCTATCTGTGTGTTCTCCATGTGCGTCTCCTCACCCCTGTCCTGTCCACTGGCCCAGCCCCAGGAGCAGCTCCTCTGATGGCCACTCCTGCAGCAGGTAACGCTCTTACGCTCTCCCTCACATGTTTGTTTTGGTCCTGGTGTTGTGCGGTCACAAACCGTACCCAGAATGCACAGAGCCAGAGCTCTGGTGTCATTCTAGCTGTTTGGCTCTATTAAAAAAAAGATAGTTTTGATTGAAAGCTGACGATTGAATGCGTTTTTATTTAATGTGTCCTAATTGTTCTTGCTTAATTTTCTTTCTTGATTATGGGTGTGTATTTGAAATGCAAATAATGTACCCATTTGAAATGTTTCTTGCCTCTTCTTTCAGCTGAAGTGACTCATTGTGGCGGCTGATAACTGTCATTACACTATCTATTATACACTTCACATTCTTTTATCTGCATGTTCGCTGAATTGCAGTGTAGTCAGGCTAAGCTTTAAAGCAATTATTTTTTTATAAGAGTAGTCTACTGTGCTGCCGCTTGAAATGCAAAAACACTTCAGTCAAACATATTTATCTAACAAATTTAGACAGAGCTCACTCCCTGTCTGCAGCAATAACTGAAGGCAGCTTGATTCCTTGATTCCCTTACTGACCTGTCAATCTTAATTACTTCAAGTGATTACAGGCCTACGTGAGATAAGCATGGTTTGCTAATTGCGGGATTTGCTAATGATTGGTTCATGAAGCTCATATGAGGATGTGTCTCTATCAAAATGTGATGTGATTTACAACACACACACACACACACACACAAATCTGTATTATATTTGAATTAATTGTTTTTAATTCATGTTTTTAAATATACAGTATACGAAAATATCGTTCCTTCAAAAGTTTTGGGGTTAAGATTTTTTTTTTAAATCAATTCTGTTCTTAACTTTCCATTCAAGTGTTATTATTATTGTTATAGTTATTATTAATAACTATTATAGTTATTAATAATCCATCAATGTTTTAGAAAAAATATTAAACATCTTTAATATTACGCTTTTAAATAACATCACTGCGTTTTGAGCTGCGTACGCCGAAGCTGCAGAGCTGAATGGACACATGTAAACCGAAACTCTTTGTTAGAAGGTTAATTAACTCAATGGAACCTTAATATTACGATTTACATCTGCACAAAATTACCCGAATGTGAAAGTGAACGTGTCTGTGCTGCTCTGAAGGTGCTACTCCTGTTGTGGACGTGTTCTTCACGCAACAATGTGTAGAAACACGGCAAATAAACTCTAAAAATTCACAGCGTTATAGTGTTCTCATTATAATGTTATGTATATGACAGTATACGCCAAGAGTATCGCGGTACGTGTATCGCAGTTTTTCGGTTTGGTTTGAATATCGTTTCACCCAGAGCCGATCCTCCCTATACGCACACTACGCAAGTTGCGTAGGGCCCCGCAAATAACTCAAGGCCCCGCCTCCCCCTCGTGTCAAAGCGCGTCAATCAAAGTTTACAACATCGATGAGATAATTAAGCGGAACTATCCTTCTGGTCGCGAAAAGAGAGACCGGGAGAAAAACACCATGTGAGTGATTTGAAAGCACGTGTCTATACCACAAATTTAATTTCTCGTGCCATTTATATGCCAAAAATAGTTTTTGCCTGCATATGATAGGCAGACGCAGTTTTCACGTGCATATGATATTTACTTTCCAGTAAAACATCTATGGGGACCAGTTACCAGTACAATATGGGCGTGATGGCACTCCTCATTAGGCGCTCATACTTTTAAAACAATGATTATCTAGTCTCCAAGTCAGTTTAGTTACAACTAGGGATGCAGCGATTACCGGATTTCACAATTAACCGCGCTTTAAAACGTCACGGTTAATTAATCGTAAAGACTATGCTACACCGCGGACGGCACGGAACGGAACTTTTGCACCTAACACAAAACGAAAACAAAGTTACACCAGCGGTGCACCAGCTTAAAGTGTCGTGCTCGTCAACCACTGAGGGACTAAGCAGCGACGCTCTATTTCCACCGAAAAAACGCCTTAAGGGCCTGTTCACAGATCGCGTCTTTTGCGCGCTCAAGTTCATTTCAAATGTAGGCGCACGGTGTCCGCGCTCATAATGGAAGCGACGCGCTCGTTTTTTCCAAGCGCGTCCGCGCTGCATCGAGATAAAAACATCTCAACTTTTCATAATGCCGCAAGCGCACCGTGGGTCAAGTGACAAGAATCAACAGAGCAACGACAGACGCCTGCGGAGCGCAACCGCCCTAGCGCTTTGGAAAAAGGAGAATGCGGCGTGCAACTTTCAGCTTCCAGTGCAACGTAAAAAAAACAACAACAAAAAAACAGCGGAATGTTTTGGTTACGCAAGTCTGTGGAAAACCGAATGTGACGTGCTCTCAAGAGTTTCAGTCAGTGAACATTTAACTTAATATCCTATTGCTTTCTCCTGTCTGTGTTGAGTAAATGTCAGGCTTTGTAGTTGTAATATGCCCGGTGTAAAACACTAACATAAGATCAGGGCCGTGTAGACTTCTAGGACTACCAATTAACTGCATTTCAGTTATTAATAACACTGCATGAGAGATGTTCTCAGTTTCTTTCTATAATTTGTACTCAAACTTCAAACAAACAAACCAAAATAATGAGATTATAATAGATGATTTCCTAAAGGCACATGTGAAATTTGGTTTAATAATTAAAAAAGAGTATTAAAATAAGTACAATAATATTGGTGGATAACATTTGGACTATATTTGTTTTCTTTTAAAAGAAATACATAGGCCTAATATTTAGCTTGCATTTAATTCAATAGAGCCAAATACTTTGTTTATTCTTATTTTCATTGGGATTTATTATCCCTTTATAGTATTATTTATGTTTTTATGTCAAATACCAACAAGATATTGTTTTCAGGTTTTCAAGTTTTCTACCTCAGGTTGAAAATACATTTAGAACAAACTAAAAACTTAATAATTTTGTGATCTATTTCAATCAAAGTGCCCTGCAGCCTTTGACTTAATTTGTTATTTTTAAAAGAAAAATGCTGGATGTGTACAAAGCACTTCTCTTTAATTCCAAAGGAAGAGATTGATTATTGTTTGTCATTTTCTAATTTTGTACTGTGTTGTGGCAGCAATAAATAACACATTAAAATCTAGTGTTGAGTGTTCATGTGATATTATACATTAGTAGTGTTGTGAAATTAAGTGATGCATAATAATCGTGATAATCGTTAAATCGTGATTATTTCTCAGACAATAATCGTACTTACAAAATCTGTAATCGTTGCATCCCTAGTTACAACTCTGCAATAAAGCAAGATGGAAAGAAATGTATTGACATTTACTATATTGCATTTAAAATGTTGATTGGCTGGACATACTGGTCAATATGGATGCAGATCCCTCAGTAAATAATAACCATCTCAATTATTGCTTTTATCATTTAAAACACAGTGACATGCAATGGCAAGCCATTTTAGCTTTTATTAATTCACAGGATGCATTTTTGATATCAATAATTAAATTTGTACTATTTAAAATGTGAATTATTGATATTCATATAAAATATGTCTATTTCTGATATCAGGAATTACATTTTCATTAGTACTCACTAAACGAGGGAGGATTGTAGTGGGAGAACTGGGGTGTCAGGTGTGACTGTGTGGAAATGGCAAATGGTTTACATGGGTCAGGAGGGCCCCATAACAGATTTTTGCTTAGGGCCCCAGGGAGGTCAGGATCGGCTCTGGTTTCACCCCTAGGATTTGTAAAATATTTTTTATTTAATTTTGTTCAAATAAATGCAGCCTTAGTGAGCATTAAAAGACTTCATTCAAAAACATAAACTATATATAAACATTTTATAAGGAGATATATACACTCACCGGCCACTTTATTAGGTACACCTGTCCAACTGCTCGTTAACACTTAATTTCTAAGCAGCCAATCACATGGCGGCAACTCAGTGCATTTAGGCATGTAGACATGGTCAAGACAATCTCCTGCAGTTCAAACCAAGCATCAGTATGGGGAAGAAAGTTGATTTGAGTGACTTTGAACGTGGCATGATTGTTGGTGCCAGAAGGGCTGGTCTGAGTATTTCAGAAACTGCTAATCTACTGGGATTTTCACGCACAACCATCTCTAGGGTTTACAGAGAATGGTCCGAAAAAGAAAAAACATCCAGTGAGCGGCAGTTCTGTGGGCGGAAATGCCTTGTTGATGCCAGAGGTCAGAGGAGAATGGCCAGACTGGTTCGAGCTGATAGAAGGGCAACAGTGACTGAAATAACCACTCGTTACAACCGAGGTATGCAGCAAAGCATTTGTGAAGCCACAACACGCACAACCTTGAGGCGGATGGGCTACAACAGCAGAAGACTCCACCGGGTACCACTCATCTCCACTACAAATAGGAAAAAGAGGCTACAATTTGCAAGAGCTCACCAAAATTGAACAGTTGAAGACTGGAAAAATGTTGCCTGGTCTGATGAGTCTCGATTTCTGTTGAGACATTCAGATGTTAGAGTCAGAATTTGGCGTAAGCAGAATGAGAACATGGAACCATCATGCCTTGTTACCACTGTGCAGGCTGGTGGTGGTGGTGTAATGGTGTGGGGGATGTTCTCCTGGCACACTTTAGGCCCCTTAGTGCCAATTGGACATCGTTTAAATGCCACGGCCTACCTGAGCATTGTTTCTGACCATGTCCATCCCTTTATGGCCACCATGTACCCATCCTCTGATGGCTACTTCCACCATGTCACAAAGCTCTAATCATTTCAAATTGGTTTCTTGAACATGACAATGAGTTCACTGTACTAAAATGGCCTCCACAGTCACCAGATCTCAACCCAATAGAGCATCTTTGGGATGTGGTGGAACGGGAGATTCGCATCATGGATGTGCAGCCGACAAATCTGCGGCAACTGTGTGATGCCATCATGTCAATATGGACCAAACTCCCTGAGGAATGCTTCCAGCACCTTGTTGAATCTATGCCACGAAGAATTGAGGCAGTTCTGAAGGCAAAAGGGGGTCCAACCCGTTACTAGCATGGGGTACCTAATAAAGTGGCCGGTGA